AACGCTTCAGCTCTCCATCAGGGCCACCATTTGTCTGCATATTTTCGTAAATGAGAGTTTGGATTCCTTGTCTGCATGTTTTCATAAGTGTGAGCTTGGATTCCCTTTTTCCTGTTGTTTTGCTAGGCTAGCTTTAATCTCATTTCTAAAAATGTCTTTTTAATTCTCCTGATCATCACTGGAGTTCTCCTTTATAACCTTTTTCTCTTGTACATATATACATTGTTGATTCTGTGCCTGAACTACTTAATAAATTCTGTRTAATGCTTTGGTTGGTGGTATGAATACTTATATGTTCATACTGCAGATACCTTCTGGAATGCTAATACAGCCCTAACGTGCCTCCCTGAACCTGCTTTCTCTTGATTTCCTTAAAATGGAGTTGTGCCCTCTGTCTCTTATCTCAGCGTTCAGATTAGAGTAGCAGCTATAGTAATCAGTCTCTTAAATGAGTATCTGAGAAGTTAAATAACATTTAATATGATTATTTCAGTTCCTCATATTGACTAAGGCTTCCTGCATGATAATTATCTGCATCTTGTGGTCCAAATTTAAGGAGTCTTCTATTATATTTGTTCCTGAACTGTTCTCTTAATGAGGTTGGAAGGCCAGTGCCKTGGTTAGATGGGTGAATAAGGATGGGGCTCGTCTGGTGTCCCTGATATCCTGGCCATGGTGCCCACTGAAGAGCTTGAACTGCCTCTGACAGAGCTCCCAGCTAATTGCTCTCCTTTTCTCTTCCTCACATCTTGTCACTTAACCAGCTTCATTCCTTGGGTAGTGCTGTACTTGCCCACAGCCAGCATCTTTCCTTTGGGGTGAACCGTTCAGCAGTAAGAGCATATTAAAAATATCATCTTAGTGTCAGTGAAAACAGTCTTATAGGAAAGATTAGGAAAAGATTACTTTGCAGTCATATTTGTTTTGCTAGGAAAGTTGCTCTTTGTTTTTATTTTTTTAAAATATATCTATTAAAAGAACTACCTAATGAATTCTTGTTGTTACATATTTCAGAGATGTTTATAGTTGATTAACATTTAATGCCTTGCTTCTGATTATGCTTTTTCACAAGTATTTCCTCTCTTAGGCTGTAGCAATTGAAAGCAATCCTATAATGTGAATAACATGCTAAAATCAAAAATATTATCATTGCTTTTTAAAGAGGTATGAATTTTTCCTTAATGTGGCCTGCCTCAGAATAACTTTCTTACTCCATGTCATTCTTAGAAAGAATTTTGCCTTTGTTGAAATGAATGCCTGCTGGATGGCAGCCAGTCACATTAGGTGGGTTTTCTTATTTGTCCCTTCCCATTTCCCAAAACCTGCTTCAGACTTGGAAGCAGAAGTATGTTTCGATGTCACTGTGATGGGTTGCCATCCATCACTTTATTTTCTACAAACTAAGTTGTTTTTTCTTTGTTTGCTTTTTTTGTTGTTGTTAGGATGTCTTTAAGCTTTCTGTACATTSTAGGAAATCCATTAGTGAGAGTAAGGCCTGAGTACACGTCAAGAAAGGAGAACTTTGAGAGCATCATTATGAAAGTTTCCAAAGGTCAGAAAGTGGATGTGGATGCACCAGTGACCAGGGGGTATCTGTCACTCTGGGAATGTGATGCTAGGGAGGCATTTGACTTCTCCTGCAGTATGTGGCAAATACATTGTTATATGGAGAAAACTGGGTATATTCTTTAATATGCAAGTATAGTCACGATGTTGAAAGATAGCAGTTTGGTGAAGTATCAGGGGTCTGAACACACCTATGTTCAGTGTTAAGATAAAGGGCATTAGAATAATTAGCAGTTGGGAAAGCTCTCTGAGATGAGTTGGGTGTATTGTGCAATCTACAGAAGAGAACCTTAGCCTACAAAACCAGTTTTACCGAGCTGAGATTCTTTTCTAACTTCTTATTTTTTTTCCCAAGAAATCCTATTTTGTTAATTGCAAGGCTGATGATAACTGATCTGAACCATTGTATGGATGTCAGCTGAATAACTGGTGTCACTGAACGTGTGTAACCTTCCCCTGGCAATTCTCGGAGACATTAGCTTTCTGGTAGAAGGCAGTAATAGCAGTAAGCCTCCTGCTGTCATGATGTCCCTTGCTCAGGAACATAATGGCACTTTGCAAAAGTGTTTTAACCTTCACATTACCCTTATGTTACAGAAATGGGCTATGGTTATGCCCATCAATAGCAAGTATCACCCTAACTACAGTTAACGGCATTTCTAGCACCTTCCAGGATTGATGCTGTGCTCTGGATGCTGTCAGTAGCTTTTAGGCTGTTCGGTGGTGCCACCTGTGTTTTCTGAGTGCATTGGTAGCAGATTTCTCTGACTGGATTTAAAACAAGGTTTCTTTGCAGATCATGCGTAAAATCAACCCTTCTACGTAGCTGCATAGACTAAACTGAGAGGATGTTAAGCAGGAAAATGTGTCCCAGGATCTGAAAGCTGAGCAGCACCCAACCAACCAGGTGGAGAAGAGCAGCCAGGTTGAGGGGGTAGATTGCTCTACTGAGGACAGATCGTGTGTCTGAGCTCAGAGCCCTCGGCCCCGCCGGCTATGAGTATTGTAATAGATGAATCTCAACTAGTTTTCACCTCCTTCATATTAAATTTTCTGACTTTTTTTCTGACTTTGTTGTGCTGAAAGGAATTGGTAGATGGAGAATTTTTATTCCAAAGTGTTATGTTTCTGTAAGCTGAACTGTTGCGACTTGGCACGCAGTCAGAATAACTTCTTTCATAATTCAGTAATGTTAAAAACCTGGCTGACATTTGCAGTGTGGAAAAGGAGCAAATGAAATTAGTGTGAGCCTGTGGAGGCATCCCCGCTTGAAGCACAATGTTCTCCTGGGTAATTGGCTTCCAGGCTGCACTCTTATGCGTGAGGTATCATTATATAGGAATCTGGCCTGAACTCTAAATGTCAAACTCAAATAGTATGGAGAATCCTGTTGTAGTCTCCCAGCTTCACCATAAATTTAAGTTATGTAATTAAAAAAAAAACACAGAAAGCAGCTCTCTTGCAGAGCATATTGTTTTTAACTGTGCACATCTTTCTAATAAAGTCCATGCATAGACCTTGCCATCTTTGYCTTACAAATTCACTTCACTGAATGATTCAAAGATACCCTTCCTAGGAGTGTGTGTTATTTCTCTAAGGCTTTTAGTGGTATCCTCATTTGCAGAGCATAAGGGAGGATGAATATTAGGGACTAGCTTTGAGTAGCATCTCTTAAGAAAAGTGCCAAGTCTCTTATTTTTTAAGTGTTCCTCAAAAGAGGGAAGTGGAACAGTTTTTACTCCTCTGTATTTACTGCAAGGGCTATTCTGTGTTTATACCTCCAAGCTTCTTTTTGGAGGACATCATTCCCAGTGCCCTRATATTCAATCATCTTCTCTCATTTTCTTATTACTCTTGTGAACAGCAGGGAAGATCTTTATGGAGCAGTTGATAAAATAGCCTTTCCAGGCTGATATTTTGCACCCTTGAAATACCATGGATTTTTAGCTAAGGTTGGTCTGTTATAAACAGGAGTATGTTGAAAACAGCCCATGTAGAAGATGCTGGAATTGTTCTAGAGCTGAAGGGAGGAAAGAGCTGCTCTCCTGCCAGGAGTGATGAGAGTGGCAGACAGCAAGGTCCCTGCAGAGCTGCTAAATGTCTGGTCCACATGCAGACTTAGTCATGAATTCCCTAACCTGGTGATAATTGGAAGCCTAGGGTCTGATAAGGGATTACTTGATCCTTTCTCTGCTGTTGAGCTTTTCCTAAGCCTTTGCTGCCGGCTGCCATCAGAAGCAGAGTTGCTTGGCCGCTACAGCCGGTCTTAGTATCAAAACATCTTCCTGGATCTTCTGGGAACATAAAGATATTTTCTGTTGTGAAAGGACAGCAGAGGTGTGAGCCGGYGCCACGGAGGAGCGCTCTGGAGGCCGGAGTGTCCCTCCTTTCTTCCCACCTTGMTCCAGCAGGAGCATCCCAACACGCTCGCTCCGACTGTGGTCTCATCTGCGCTGGCTGTGAGGAAGGGCAAGCGCTCCCGGGCTATACTGGGAGAGCTTCTCTCTCCCACGTGCACTGTCTCCATCTGTTTGCCTGTAATTAGTTAAAACACTGATGGGAAAGACACAGAAGAAATATTTCTGGTAGTGACATGTGTTTGAGAATGTGCCTGCGTGTCGAGCAGACAAAGGGCGAGCTGAATGCTGCTTTTTCCGCGGTGCGTTCTGGTGAGCTTTGAAAAAGGCTCCAATAAATTTTTAATGTTTTCCTGACACTTTTATGTGGCTTTTTATGCCTGGCGGGCTGCTCTGGAGCGGTTTGAGGAGCTGCCGGCATCTTCTGGAAGGTTCCGCAGCGCAGCCGCTCTGTGACCAAGGCCCCGGCGCCATTTTGTTGTCCACCCGGCTCCACTCCTCACTCGGGCATCCRGCCTTTATCCTAGCACAATACAGCTTTATACTCCAGAAAAGTTGAGAAAAAATTGTTTTTGTGTAATAATAATGATGATGATGGTAGAATTGCACATCATGAATATTATGTGGCCCTGTTTTTTTCCGCAAGATGGAGAGCAGGCTGTAGGCCTGCATGAACTCGGAGTTATGAATACTTGGCATCTTTCTATGTAAAACCCCAAGTTAGTCGTTTTGTTTTAGGTATGCGGATGTGGGTCATGGCATCTCTGATCCAAGAGATGATTCCATTGTCTTTGTGGGATGCTTTTATTTAGTCTTAATATGCACATGGTATGGATTAGAAGTATGATGTTCTTTGTGTCATTGAGTAGAACTGTGAGCTTGAGATCCAGCCACTCAGTAACCAGTGTGTTTGCCCACAGCAATATGGAGAGATGCTCAGACCTTTTTTTGAAGGGGGAGAGGCAGGAACCTGGAATAATTTCACTGAAAGAATCCTAAGGAATAGAGTGCTTCATTCAAAAGAAGCTGTAATGTCTGTTTCAGTTTCATTAATAGCATTTAAATTTGTTTTTGCAGGTGTGGCATCTATGACAGTACCAGTGTACATCGCCGAAGTCGCTCCGCCACACTTAAGAGGCAGATTAGTTACCATTAATACGCTCTTCATCACAGGAGGGCAGTTTTTCGCAAGTGTCATCGATGGACTCTTCAGCTACCTCGCAAAGGATGGATGGAGGTTTGTGAACTGTTGCATTTGAAAGCAAAGCCAACATTGTTAGGATTTCGGCAAGCCTAGATATACTGAAAAGAACTTAATGTTTGACAACTATCATAATTCATGGTGGTAAAACAGAATTCACATATAAAGTGGTAAATCTATATGCTGAAAGGGGATTTTAACTACTGCTGAATACTATGCATGCTGTGTTCACTTAGACTTAATATTTGAAACCTATTTAGCTTTTATGACTCTATAGTGAACTTTAAAATGCATGACCAATAAATATACACCACAAAGCTTCAGTGATTGTAGTAAAGATTGTAATATAAAAGCAGCTTGCCTCTTGCCTTTACAATACATTACCTTTTTTTCCTTTTTTTTTTTTTTTTTTTCCCCCCAAGGGGCAAACTTCAGCAAGTATGTTGCTATAGATTCAAGCAGAATGAAAGTAAAAGTTATTGAAGTTATTGTAGCATAATGTCATAGCTGAAGTTTAGATTATAGAATGATGTGGCTCTGTTTTGCTCTACTTTCTGGRTATTGCTTCTTCCTATAGTAATTGCTAAGTGTTTCTGGACTGCTGCTGTATACCTTTGTTATGATGAGGCACCCTTGGAGAGAGAGATTAAGAATCTATATCTCTAGGAAATGTCTGGTCTGGCTTTGCAGTTAGGTGCTCATATTTCCCACTATTGATTTTTCATATTAGTGATCCAAGATTATTTTCTRTGATTTATAGACCAAAAATCAATAGAGAGCAATGAAAAAGCCTTCATTCTTTAACAGATGGTCCACTTAGTGGCTCTTTGAGGAGGATGAAAAGATCTTGGGTTCTTGTGGCTTACCCTTAGGAAATGTTCTTAGAAAATACAGAGAAAAATTCCTAGACTCTTAGATGTTACTGAAAGTTTGTTTGAGATGTCCTGTGAACTTTATTAATTTTGTAATTTTTCCATTTTTTTTTTGTTTTACTTTCTTGTGCTCTCCTGTAGAGTTCTTGTGTCCTGTAGATCCATTGTCATTCAAAAAGATAGGCCTTCAGTAAAATCACTTGCTCTGCATCAAGAAATCCCATAAATATATTTCAGCACTGCTAGTTGTATGATAGTGGGTATGAACCAACAAAAATGGAATGTTTGCCATTAAAAGCCTCTCTGACTAAAGCTCACACAATGAGGTGGACCTCATCTCCCATGAGAGCAACCGTCTTGATGACAAGTTAAGGAAGTGCAGGGTAGATGAATAGACAGGTGGATTGAGAGCAGAGCTCAAAGGTTGTGGTCACTGGTTCAGACTTCAGAGTCTGTCTGGATGGCTGTACTGGGTCCAATATTGCTGAATTTATTCGGATGAAGGGACAGAGCTCACCCTCAGCATGTTTGCTGATGATAMAAAATGGCAGAAGTGGTTGATACTCCAGAGGGCTGTGCAACCTTTCAGGGGGACCTGGGTAGACTGGAGTGATGGGCAGAAAGGAACGTCATGAAGTTCAACCAAGGCAAGTGTAGAGTCTTGTACCTGGGGAGAACTGTACCAGTATAAGCTGGTACCAGTATAAGCTGCTGGAAAGCAGCTCTGCGGGAGAGGATCTGGGGGTCCTGGTGAACAACTTCACCATGAGCCAGTGATGTGCCCTTGCGGCCAAGAAGGTCAAGGGTATCCTGGGACTGTTAGGAAGAGCGTTATCAGGAGGTCAAGAGAGGGGATCCTGCCCTCCACTCAGCCCTGGTGAGGCCACATCTGAAGCACTGGAGCACAGTGTCAAGTGCTAGACTCTCTGGTGGAATACAGGCATGGAGCTACTCCTGGAGCAAATCAGTGAAAGGCTGCTAAGATGATTAAGAGACTGGAATATCTCTCACTTGAGGAGAGGCTGAGAGAGCTGGGACTCTTCAGCTTGGAGAAGACTGAGAAGGGCAGATCTTGTCAGTGTGTAAAAGTGGCCAAAGGGAGGGTGTCAAGAGAATAGGGCCAGACTCTTGTGGTGCCTGATGATAGGAYGAGGGGCAATGGGCAGTTCCCTGTGAACATGAGGGAAAACTTCTTTTCTTTGAGTCTGTCTAACATGAGTTATCCAGAGAGACAGTGGAGTCTCCTGTCTTGGAGATGTTCAAAAGTCATCTGGACATGTTCTAGGTGATGTTGCTTGAGCGGGGAGATTGGACTAGGGCGTCTCCAGAGGTCTCTTCCAACCTCAACCATTCTGTGAAATAGTCTTACAAAAAAATAGAATTACTAAACCCTTTCTACAGTTAGAGAAATGTGCTTAGTTTTGACAAAAGGTAAGCAGAAATGTGTTTTTGGTTAAAATTCTAAATACTAGCTGAAGTATTTGAACCTTACAGGCAGTTCTCCTGTAAGTTAAGGACTCCCAAGACATGAGGTTGGACTGAGGAGAAAAGAACAGGGAAACTGGACAGAAACTGAGGCTATGCTGCAGATCAGGTGCCCAGAGATTCTCCCTCATCTCCAGGGTGGAGCTGTTGTTATTTGCAGAATGTTTCCTTGTCTCTCTGTCCTCAGCTGCGTTCCTGCAGCCTGAGCCTGAGCTGGAAGGAAGGCAGGTTTGTTGCTTGGAAAGAGTTGTCCTTGCACGTGTGGGGAAAAATCACAGATGTTCTTGGAAACGCTGAGTGTCAAATTCAAAATAAACAACAAGAACAACAAAAAAAMCTGATACTTATGTCATGATAAATCCCRCTAATGCTATTTTAGTAGTATTGTTGAAGTGTGTTTAAGGGAAATGTTGTAACRTACATTAAATTTCATGCTAGGTTTTTTTTTTTTTCAAGTCTTTTAGACAATTAGTTTCAAATGGAAATCCTTGCACTCTATATAGGAAAAATCTTTATTTGCTTTCTGAAAGCTGGCTCCCTGCATGTTGTTGCCTACTTTACTCCAAATGGAGTATGTGAAGTTGTTTTATCTGGAAACAGTGACAACTCTTGAACTTGAAATGGATTTATGCTCTTAACTGTGTGTTTTGCATTTGACCTGCTCSTTATGCTCAACTTTGACCAGAAACAGGTCAATTGGAAACTGACTTTAGTGTTTGAGCACTTCCTGTAGATTTTTTTTTTATCTTGTTCCCAACAAATAATTTAACAGGGTCCAACTGATAACCCCGTCAGGCTGGGTCCAGCTTTCAGGTGTAGCACTTACCTTAAGAAGCAAAGTTGTTTGAATATACTCAGCTTCCCAGCTCTGGAGGCTGCTGCTGCATGTGATGGACTAAAGGGCTTTGATAAGCTCCTGGAGGAGCAGAAACTGGCTAATATGAATGTAAAGAAATAAATCTCCTTATTGATTTCAAGGTGTGAATCTATTTATGAGTACAGTATACCGTGGTGCTCTGTCTGAGGGCCTGTTTCTGGAGGTAATTTAATGGTTATAACCACTAAAGTGAAGAATGTTTGCTTGCAGTGTTATATAGGTGGTACTCTTTGAAGCATCAGCATCATTTGAAGTCCATAATGGAAGCTGAAAAATCCCAGTCGAGGGCACATGGTGTATCTGATGTATGAAAAATCGTATTTAAGAAGCAGAACAAAATGATAGATTCTTCAGTAATTCTTGTAATTCTTCTTGGAGTAACTCCTGAATGCTGAGCTGATGTTTATAACTGGAAATTCTAGAAGGTTCTTAATTCTCTCTGGGTTTGATTGCCTCATAKGTTTTCTGAGGAAAGTAAAAATTAGAATTCTTCAGGATACCCAAGTGAAAGGTCTTAAGTATCTTGTGCTATTGCAAAAAAAACCACAATGACTAAAACGATTTAAAATACATGAACTCAGACTTTCCTTGATACTGGCAGCAAAATTTTATTTAATTTATGCATAAAATTTATACATAAAATAACATAAAACTTTATGTTATTGACTTATATTATAAGCAAGAACAATTCTGTAGAATTAGTTCTGCAAAAGGGAAGAGCTGTTGGAAGGTTTAAATACAGGCATACCTGTCTGTTCAGGGCAGAGGCTGTCCTGCCGTAGGCACCTGCTAGTGAGATAAGCTGCTTCCCAGTGCTCTGTTCTGCAGTGCCCTTTCCTCTGAGCTGCAAGCTTTGGAGAGAATTGGAAAGAATTCCAATCTGGAAAGAACTGGAAAGAATTCTAGCTTGAAAAGAATTGGAAAGAATTCCAGCTTGCTTGTGAAAATGTTGGTCATACTGTGTGCATATGTTTTATTGAAGGAATGTGGGATTCTGTGTAGTATAAAAATGTGAAGCGTGAGTATCAGAGCCACCTCTGACACCGAGTTTGGGAGGTGTTTGTCTTGTGCAGGYTTTTAGTCAGAGCGAATCACAGTGTGTGTGAGTGTTGTCATCTGTGTCAGTACTGACCATCAGAAGTGTTATCCCCGATAGAGATAGTACAGAATTAACCTTCCAAGTTTATACACTATAATACCGTAGGTATCTCAAATACTCTTTTGACTTAAAGCATGCTTTTGCAGCTGCCTGAAAATGCACAAGTGGGTTATGTGCTCCCAGGTAGAAAGTTTGAAAAGGAAAATAGACTTCTCCCTAGAAAGGACTTTATTCCTTGTTCATGTGTTTTTATATGTACATGTTATATACATGCTTGCTGACCCAAAAAAGTTTTCTGTAGTTGCTTCGGCTTCTTTTTTCAGTCTCACTTTTATGTCATTGACAGTGCCAGTTATTTTTAAAGACATTTGATTTCTTCTTCCATTCTTTCATTTATCTATCTTTGACTTTCTTCTTTCCTTTTTTATATCTTTGCTGAAAGGGATCAGTTTGGTCTCTGAACGCATGGACTATTTCATTTAGTGTGAGTCAGTGCTCCCCAGAGCAGCGGCTGTAGAGTCAGTGACAGAATATTCAACGTAATCCTTGGTGTGCACTGGGTTTTCATGTGAGAATCCAATTTTCTAAAATGTTTAAGAACAGGTATCTTGCCCACTTCATTTCTGAACAGAAGGAGTAAGAGGGGAGAGGATAAGAGGCAACAAAGTCSATGGTTTCTCCTAGTTAACTTTGTTACAAGTATTTCCCTTCCCTGGCAGAACATCCTTCTCGCTAGGAGAAGCGGCATCCTAATATGTACATTGTAAAACTTGAGTGTGTGCATGACTGTTCCGAGAATGTTATTGTGGRTGAGTGTTAGACACTTCTTTATTTTTTCATTTTTAGGTACATGTTGGGCCTTTCGGCGTTTCCGGCAGCCCTCCAATTTCTTGGCTTCCTGTTTCTTCCGGAAAGCCCCCGTTGGCTCATTCAGAAAGGGCAGACTCAGAGGGCACGGAGGATYCTCTCCCAGATGCGTGGGAACCAGGCAATTGATGAGGAGTATGACAGTATCAAAAACAACATTGAAGAAGAAGAAAAGGAAGTTGGAGCAGGTATGTCGGATATRTATTGGCATCTCTGAGCATCAGGAAGGAGATAAAAATCAAAATAGAAGTTCTCGCGTAGCCTGTGCAAACTTTATGTTTTGCTCTTCTTGAGTGCTTTGCTATTGCTGACAGTATTTGCTGTTTTGGTAACTTCAGAACCAAATGGATGCTTCTGTTATCTTATGGTTTTAAATTCTGTCCTCTTACATGAGGAAAAACTAAAATTGTAATAAGATTCTAGGTTTATACTTTCTTCTTGCATTTATTTCATGTGTGAAATGCACATTCTTTCATCAGTGGAAAAGTACGTGAAGATCAAAAGAGCAAACAGACATTCAGGAGGTCCAGAAGGATTAATATTTTACATGCCTGAAGCCCATATCCTGGCTCAGAGAATCTCTGCAAGCAGCCTTAGGGAAGATCTACAAAATTAGACATGTAATATTGAGATTGCGCTTCAGTAGAGACAGTGTCTGTGGTCCCTTTGGTCTTCCCAAGAGAAAAATRTATTTAAAACAGTTCTGGTTTGATTTTTATATTCTTACAGAGTTAGCTTTAAGAAAGGTTATGGTGCTGTTGACTGGTTTTTTATCTATTGAGTATTTCCCCTTTGTGCTGACGCTGTTAAGGTTGGAATTGAAATTAAGGTTCTTAAATAAAAACTACTAGATTCTGTGGAGAGCCACTTGATGTCCAGTGCAAAAGCATTTCTGCTCAGTGGAAATAAAAAGAGGAGCCATTCTGTCCCTTATTTTTGGGCTACAAATTATGGCTTGTTTCTTCTTTAAATCCTTCCTCCTCTTGTTGCACTGTACATAAATTAAATGTGATGTTGTAGGACTACCCTTAGGTCAGTTGTTAAAGCTCCCCTGTGTACATCCATAGCTGGGATTGGCACACTGGTTATGAGGCTTTGGGCTTTCTGGGATTTTTTTTTCCAGAAGAAAATCATTGCATAGCTGGAGCACTTTCCTGGAGACATGTTAGTGAAGTGCAGCACATTCCTGTGGAAGAACGAGGTTACAATGAGGCAGTGTTTTCCACTTGGGTAATCCACAGCTTCAGAGCTTTCATGGAGAGACTTAAGAGTATATGCTGTCCATCTCCAAAGGCTTGATTTTTATAAAACAAAAGTTGTGTTTCAGCATCATGGCAGATCTTCATTACCCCTGTTACTTGTTTTTTACCCACATCATATTAACTTGCCGATAATTTCGTTTCCTGAGGATTTGTTTAGCTACCCAGTACTGAATTTGACATGTGGAGTGTAAGAACAGTTTCCTCTTCCTGATTTCACTGCCAAGAGTTCAAGCTGTGTTCACAGCTCAAATGTATGCAAGGACATTGCAGTTCTTTGCCATGTGTATTTCTTATTTTTTTTATGTTCCTGCAGAACTTCTTGAATTCATTTTTCCTATTTGTAGCACACTGTTTTAAAACACTGGTTAATAACAGTGCCAAATGCTGGTAGTAATTCCTGTCAGACCTTCTGGATATTATTTCCATTTTGCCAAAAGTTTTCTTGAGCCTACATGGAAAGTGGACGTGAATATGGAATCCAAGGAAGGCCAGTTTTGCGGTTCAAAAATCATCCTGCCTACTTTAGCTAATCGTTTCTTCTCCTTTTCTCTCCCTTCTTTTCCTGAGAGAAGAGCAGATATACTTTCTCCTTAATTGATAACGCAGGCAGCTTCTCAGGGCATCATTTTGTGTGTGAGAAGGTGTTGACCCCTTCACAACCAGGGCAGCAGCAGAATGTAGCCATGAAGCACTGCAGTTGGATCATAGTTTCTAGTATAGTTGGGGCAGATATTCTATGCTATATGTTGATCAAAGACAGGCAGGCACTTAGAACGAGTGCAGGTAAGCTGGGTAGTGCAGGTAAGTTAGTGCAGATTAAGCATTCGTACTGTGGCTTAAGTGTACAAGGACAGATGAAGTCACTTGTACTGCCAGGTAGGTCAGAGGGAGGGATTTTCAATATTAATTCTAGAGTAAACACTTGAGAGCAAAGTCCTGAAGCAAACATGAGTTCTAGAGTAAACACTTCAGTGGTTGGCAGTTTTGTGCGTAACATTATAGACACTTCTGCAAAGGTCTCTCAGGCTTCTAGTGAAGGATTCATTTTAGCATCCGTTAGTAAAATGTAACTACATCATKAATTTTCTGTACACTTAATCACCTGTGAAAGCAAGTTATGGGAAAGATACTGTTCAGTGAGGGAGACAGTCTCCCGCGTTAGGTTTTGCATTGCCCCATTGGAGATAAATACRTTATAGAAAGGTGTGATCACCTAATCAGCCTGCAGTTTCAGCCATCATTTGACCCAATAATTGCTAGTTAAAATAGGATATTCCCAGAGAGGAGATCTGGACTCTCAGYCCATCCTGAATACAGTATATTTCTGTTTCTGGCAACTTCTCTTCATAGTATTTTAACTTGCCAGTCTTGCCTATGACTTTGGCTTCAACCATCTGACACCTCTCTAAAGAGGTAGTGGAAGCTTTCAGTATTTTCATTCCTGATCATAATTCCTCCCTTACTTCTGACAGTCTCTTTTGTCTTTTGCCATTGCCTAAGAGACCTGCAGTTCACAGACATGCCTCTTACTATTCCTTCAGCTGGAATTTTATTTAATGGGACTTGCTACTGCTGTGGAACTGGAGTAGGACAGTGCCCAGATCTGAATCATTCTCTTTCTAGGGACTCAACTCTGTATTTGAAAGCTAAGGCTACTTCTATTATCTTAAATGATTCTTGGTATYTGTAACCATTACATGGAATTATTTGCAAGTCTTTGGAGCAAGAGGATGAAGAAAGGGGACTAAGGTTTCTTGGAAGAAAACCCAAGATTCAGTATGGCAGATGGACCTCTCGGCCTGAAATTTGTGTTTGTTACAGGACCAAATGCAAGGATCAGTTGTAGATCATTTTACCTTGGTATTTTCCAGGGATCATGGCCAATGAACAAAGTACTCACAAGGAATGTCTGTTTTTCATTCTTATATTTTAGCTATTTAAATTGTAGAATTACTTTTTTTTCAAGGCCATTCTCTTAAGAACAAAAATGCCTCTTTTGTGATGACATCTCTTCATTGGAATTGATTTTGTTTTGAGTTGAAGGCCAAAGAGCAATACTCCTGCAGAGTCAAAATTCRTGCTGTGGAGACAAATGCAAACTTGGAGACATTTTATGGTCTTGAGAAAGTATACTAGCTAAATTCAGCATATAATCAAAGTTATGAGGAGAACCTTTAAAACTCAGCAAGAAATATTGAAAATATGCATTACTACATTTAATCTAGTGTTTAACAGCTGAGGAAGATGGATAAAAGACTATGGTTCTACTTCTTTCCTTAAAGTCTTGTAAAAGGCAGGTGAAATTCTCATTTCACCTTTGAAAAATGCARTATATAAAGACCACATCTTTTTCTACCTTGCCTAGAAGTACAGCTACTAKGTTCTAAAAATAAGAGTTTGTTTCTGTTATCTTCGATTAGCAGAGCTCCAAGATAACATGTGCACACACATGGGTTTGAGAACTGAAACCTGCCAGAGGAAATATTGGTTTTATAGATATAGGTCTACCTGGAGTCATCAGCAGTCTTGAATGACTATAACCAAAAAAATCACAGACTTTCACCTTAGTTCTCAGTGCAATAATGTAAGTTGAATGTTTCCCTGCACATGATGGCTAGCTGCCTTTCAGAAAATGAGACCACTCTGACCCAAACAGGCATTTTGGAACTCTATTTAATGAAGTCCAGAAAGAGAATTTAAGTAAGTTGGTCCTGAAGGGTGGAGAAGAGTGAAACTTCATGACAGCCTAAGAGGATCATTATCTAGGCAAGAGTAGCTGGAGTTTGTATTACTTTACACACCTRTTTTAAACATTTTATACATATATGTGTGTGTGCATATGTGTATATATACACAAAACACATAATTCTTAAAGTTCAGGTTTGCTGTGAGGTAAAGTAAGTCAGCWCTTCACTGACAGTTTAGTATCAGAAAGAGAACAGTATTATCTCTTTTAGATCTGAAGTGCCTAATGAGTTTGTTTTAAGCAAAGTGACATTATTCATAGACTGAAGCCAAATTTTCTCATGTAGGAGTAGAAATAAGTGCTGCTCTTCATGTCAGCTGCACCCTCCCCAAGTGCCTCTGCTTTGTATTTCTAGTTGCATAGTTTTATTTCTTAGTAGGATGAAGCAAAATTAGTCATTTTTGCTTAATTGCCCGGATAATATTATTAGTGCCTGCATTTTGTGTGTATTGGGTTCAGCTACAGTACTTCCAATTTATGGAAAATTATTGTTTTCAATTTTCATGCTTTCTAGAAGCTCAGCTCAGTTTTAAAGCAGGAAACTGGACATATTTCTTGGGTTTTTCAAAGTAGTACTTAGTTGTACAACTTTTGTTATCAGAGGTTCACTATACATTCTGCTAAACTTCAAACAGCGTTTGGAGCTGAGTTCATCTTGGTCTGCTAGATAACACAAAGGTAGCATGGCACACAGGAATTTTTATTTTAGCCTAGCTGTCCTGAAAGATTCCTGAAAGAAGTAAACTTGAAAAAAATGGCAAGTATTCTTGGTTAGCAAAATGAATGTGTACAGCATGAGCAGAAGTGAAGGCATAAAGCAAACAGAGCAGCCTAGKGATAGGGAAACCAAGGAGCAGACCTGAAGGGCTTGCAGCGTCAAGAGGACAAACTTAACTCTGAGCCAGAATAGCCCCGGTTCAGTGCAGAAACTGAGATAAATTTAATGTATAGATGCCTCCTACCATCTGTCTGATACAGGTTATTAAATCAGAAACAAGAAAGGGAGCACTAGGAATCAAAAAGGGCCACAGAAAGAGAGTGGCCCTCTGGGGAGAGGACAGGTTGAGGGAGAGACAGGTTGAGCTGGGCAGGTAGCAGGTAGCCCRAGCCCTCGCTGTTCGGGTAGAAATAGGAAAAGGAAATTTGAGTTCCTGGGTATTCTTATGTGAGAGATGGGCAC